AAACCACCACCAGGAACCTCTTCAGCCAGATGAAGCCTGTGATGTGCACCAGGCTCTAAGAGACAGACAATGACCGGTGGTGGCACGTACGCGGAGAAACTGGAATTGTCCCACGTCACTGGCAGTTGGAGCCATTCTGGAAAAGGCTGGCATTTCCTTGTATATTCAGTATGAACCTGCCACACTCCCTCCTACCCGAGAGAAGTAAGATACGCATCCACAGACAGGCTAGCGTGCAAGTAACCATAGAAGCACTATCCGTAACAGGCCACCACCAGAGCACTCCAGCGCCGCCAGGAGAAGGGGTAAGTGGCACTGACATGAGAGGACGGAGCGCGACGCCTCACACCGCTGGCTGGGGGGCCGCAGACACGCTCAGTCAGAGATGCCAGGCACAGACAACGGAATTTCTTAACAAGGCAGATCTCTAGCGATACAGCACATTCGTGTTTGCCTGAAGCTGGAGGTGGGAGCGGAGAGCCACTGCAGACAGCCATGAGGGAACATTTTTGAGATGAAAGTATTTTAAAACTGGCCTGCAGACGTTGGCGTAACTGCATCAACACATGAAAAATCACTGAACACATACAGTGAGTGGATTCTCTGGTACAGTAATCCTTCAATAAAGCCCTTTTTAAAAAGTAATGGGATGAAAAAAAAAAGTAATGGGATGCAAGTGGAGAGGTTGATTCTGGCTGGAAAGATTAAAGAAAACCTCGTGAAGAAAAATTACTCACAATTTGGAAATAAGACAAAAGGAGAGCGGGAGGGTAGAGACCTTTCAGCTCATACCTGGGCATGCTTAACATCCTGCCTACAGCTCACTAATTCTCCAGGAGAATGTGCGCCAGGAACTGTGAAGTGGCCTGTTACTTGTGGGTTTATGCCCCATAGAAAACTCCAAAGATCATGTTTTCTTATCCCCACTGGTGTGTTTGTTGATTTAAATCTAGCCTAGCGATCTTATTCCAATTCTTCTTTGCCTTTATGCCTATAAACACCTACTTTCTCACTGTTACCATCTTACTCTTCTCCTGGATGTGTGAAATGAATCCTTGACCTGTGGTAATTTTTCAAACACGGTAAATGTCAGTTTAAAAATGGTAAAATAGCCGAAACCGGTTTGGCTCAGTGGATGGAGCGTCGGCCTGCGGACTGAAGGGTCCCAGGTTCGATTCCGGTCAGGGGCATGTGCCTGGGTTGCGGGCACATCCCCGGTGGGAGATGTGCAGGAGGCAGCTGATCGATGTTTCTCTCTCATCGATGTTTCTAGCTCTCTATCCCTCTCCCTTCCTCTCTATAAAAAATCAATAAAATATATTTTTTTAAAAAAATGGTAAAATAACTGTTTTCTATTAAGAGACTAAAGGGACAAGTAACTAAGGGCAACTGGGAAAGTGGTCTGAACATGTCACGGTCAGAGGCTACTGTGGACTCACTGAGCATTTTCTCAGGTGCGTTAACAGCTTCATGGTTATGTAGGGGAACGTCCTTACTTTGAAGAGCTGTATGCTGCCATATTTAGGGGTAAGATGTCATGGTATCTGCAATTTACTTTCCAATGGTTCCATTTTTTTTTTAAAGTAGAAAGAGGCGCAATGAAATGAATAAGGCAAAATGTCAACAATCTGATGAGTGGCACCTATGTGGTGTCCAGTAAGTCATTTTTGAACCCTTCTGTGGGTTTGAGGTTTTTCTTCGCAAGGAGCAGAAGCTGGAAGGTGGCTAGCCTTTGGATCTCATCTCAAATACCACCCCCACAGGAACCCCCTGCTCAGCGAAGCAGGGCCCTGTGCTTCTGACCAGGCATTAGGGTGTGCTCTCAGAGCACTTACGACTTGGAATTACACGGCTATCTGATTAATAGTTCTTTCCCTCAAGAGACCCTAAAACCTCTGAGAGCGGGGGCTTCAGTGGCATTTTCACAACTAAAGGCTTTGTTAAGAACACGGTACCCTGCAGCCACTTAGGACTTGTGGACTCAATAATGCCCCCTCCTTCCCTCCCTTCCCCTCCCTCCCATGGTTCCTTCCTGCACTTAAGGTGCTTGGCCCTAGGATAAAGATGAACAAGGTCACTGCCCTGAGTCACACACAGGCCAGCACTCAAATTACTGACCTGCACAGGTGCTCCATCCTGGGACCAAGGAAAACCCCTGAGGCTTCCAAGGGGCCCAGGAGGCGCTGACCCAGGCTGGGGTTACTGGTGACTTTTAGGAGACAGTCCCTGCGGGGGGAAGAGGGCTAACATGTGAAGCTCACAGAGAGGCGAGGGTTCTCGGCCTTCCATGCCTCCTCCCACCACCTAGTGCCACACACACTTTAGACCTCACCTACCTGAGCCCACAGGCTCACTCCACACACACTTTAGACCTCACCTACCTGAGCCCACAGGCTCACTCAACTTACCAAGCACACTGCTCATCTCTTCTGGCAGGCTGTCACCTGCAAGCTACTGCCATGTATTTCAGAATTGAGCACCACTTACCAAGTTTTAACTCTACATACCACCATGTGATGACAGTGTAACTTTTACTGAAAGTGAATGATGGACCCCAATATGCCATGTAGTAATCCCCGGGGTGTGACTATCACGGTACGTGGCAGAAAGGTCTTCACAGATGTGATGAACATAATGGGCCTGAGCCAGGGAGAGTATCCTGGATTATCTGGGTCGGCCCAAAATACCACAGCTGTCCTTAAAAGAGGGAAGCAGATAGAGATGTGCCTACAGAGAGGGAAGGCAACGTGTCGATGGAAACAGAGACGCATGATGCAGCCACAAGCCAAGGAATGCCAGCAGCCTCTGAAAGCTGGAGAAAGACAGATTCTCTCTGGAGCTTCTGCAAAGCCCAGCCAACACCTTCATCTTCATCTGGAAGACCCATTTTGGACTTCTGACCTTGAAAACTACAGGAGAATAAATCTGTATTGTTTTAAGCCACCACCAAGTTTGTGGTAATTTGTTAGAGCAGCAACAGGAAACTAATACAAGTCTCATCAGCACATATCCCAGATACTGAGGGAGGGAGTGTATCTGTATGGGACGGGCCTGGGAGACTGCAGCCAGGAAGGGGCTGTGCAGCCTCCAGGTGCAGAGGGCTTTCCTGGTACCTGCTTACCTCTATCATCTGGGCATTTCACAGGTATGTGTTCATGCACTGTTTTTATCATTTGAAAAAAACAACACAATTTTTAAGCCATTTCAGATGGAATCCAACACTGATTATGCCAACCGCCATTTCCAAACCACTCTGACCATGCTGGCAGCAGTTTCTCATTTTTTAAATTTCATCCGCCCCTGAGAGGGAAGGTGTAGCCATGAAGGGGGCGGAGCGAGAGAGACCACTGACCCTCATGAGCTCCCACTGGACACCGCCTGCTGCTCCCACTTTCCTCACTCACATCTCACAAGCAGGGGCAGGATGGGCATTGCCTCTCAGAAGAGACCAGCGTTCAGAGGAGCAAAGTGCTGGCCTCAGGCCACACAACCAACTGCGAGTGACAGAACCAGACTCGGACTCAAGGCCTCGGATCCCTAAGTCGGAGTCCTTCCAGAAACATGCGTCTAAGACGCCTGTGGTGAGCAACAGCAGCGGTGCCGATGCAGAGCCCTGTCACCATGGCAAGAATGAAGGGTGCCAACTGGCTAATCCGTGTATTATAATATTTATTTAATGATAGAGGTTTGTTACTTTATTTGCTCCTTATACAGTTTCTTTTTTTAAAATATATTTTTATTGATTTCAGAGAGGAAGGGAGAGGAAGAGAGAGATAGAAACATCAATGATGAGAGGGAATCATTGATTGGCTGCCTTCTGCACGTTGGACCTAGCCCACAACCCAGCCATGTGCCCTTGACTGGAATCGAACCTGGGACCCTGTAGTCTGCAGGCCGACACTCTAGCCACTGAGCCAAACCAGTAAGGGCCCTTATACAGTTTCTTAAGATAGAAAATGTGATGATTGATTTGAGAACTTTTTACTCTAAATGTCCCTCTCAGCACCGCATCCCATAAATTTTGGTAGCTTGTATTTTTATTCCGGTCCAAACATTTTCTAGTTTTCCTGTGGCTTCCACGTGGCCCCATGATTTATTCAGAAGGGGGTTACTTGTTTAATGCCCACGTTGGGGAGATGCTCTTGTCCTCTGTCACTGCGCTCTAGTGTGACTCTCCTGTGGTTAGAGAACCTGGTTTGCATAATTTTAACCTTTCAAGTTCATAGTTTCTGTTGCAATGCAGGTCACCTGAGGTCTACCTGAGCGTCCTTGGAAAGAATGTGTTGTGCGCTTGCTAGAGGGTGGCATGCTCTCTAGGCGGCAGACCATCCAGCGGCTGACAGTCAGCCTTCTGTCCTGGCTGATTCTGTCCACACGTCTGCCAGGTGCTATCCAGAGAGGAGAGCTGGCCCTCCAGCTGTAGCTGGACTTGCCCGCTTGTCTCACCCCTGTCAGTGTGCCCTGTGCTCTGCAGCTGGTACCTGGTGCACACACACTGAGAACCAGTCTGTCTCCATTAGCAAGTGTCCCACCTTCTGGTAGTTTCCACTGCTCTGCAATCCTTTTATATGTTAGTATATCTGCTCCATCTTCCTCTTGCTCAGTATTTTCATGGTAAATCTTACCCATCCTCTCATTTTAACCCACACATTTTATATATTTAGAGTAAGTTTCTTTTAGAAAGCATAGATCTGGGCCATTTTTTTTAACCCATTCTGTGGGGTATCCAGACACTGCTGGTATGTTCAAACCATCTACATGGATTGTAATTGTTTGTTTTCCGTTTTTCCTTCCTCTAACTCTTCTTTCCTGCCTTGGTTTTGTGTGTTTAAGTTATTTTAGAATTCCATTTTAATTTATTGGCTTTTTGTCTCTCTTTAGTAGGTGATCTAGGGACTAAAATATATTTAATATTTCACAATCTATTTAGAACCAATATTTTACCACTTCATTGTGGAATGTACAAACTTTACCATCATATCACCTCCCCCTGTATTTTATTTAAACTTTAACTTTCTAATCCCCCATCACCACAAATGATGCAGTCGAGTCTCCCACAACTGGGGAGGTTGCAGGGCCCGCACACCCGGAGCGCAGAGGGTAAGCCTTGCTGGGGAAAACCACCTTCAGGAGCACAGCATCTCCCCTGCCAGGTGAGTACGTCCCCTGTACCTTCTCTCCGTCTTCTATTTTACATCTACACACACCGAAACCCCAGGCATGACTTTTTTCTCCCAACCAAATATATTTTAAAGAACTCATTAAGAGAACAACGGTCTACTGTATTTATCTAGCATGTACCATTTCTGCTCCTCTTCCTGCCTAAGTTTCAGGTTTCCTTCTGACAGTGTCCCTACTGTCTGAACAGCTTCCTTTGGCAATTCTTTTAGAACTGCTGGCCACACATTCTCTTCGCTTTCCTTCATCTGAGAATACCTTCATTTCACTGTCATTTCTAGGCATTTTTGCTAGATACAGAATTTTGGGTTGGTAGCTCCTTTCTTTCACTTCCTTCTGGCCTCCATAGTTTCTGATGACAAAATCAGCTATTCAAATTGTTGTTTTCTGGCTGCTTGTAAAATTTTTGTCTTTATTTTCAGCAATTTGGTTATGATGTGTCTGGGCATGGGCTTCTTAGTCTTTATCCTGTTTGGAGTTCATGGAGGCCCCTCTCCCAAGTCTGTAGATTTATGTCTTTTCCCAGACTTAAAACACATTCATTTATTCCAACATTGTTTTCTGCATCACATTTTTCTCCTCTCCTACTGGAACTCCAGTAACGAAGTGTTAGACTTTTTTTTTTTTAATTGATTTTTTACAGAGAGGAAGGGAGAGGGATAGAGAGTTAGAAACATCGATGAGAGAGAAACATCGATCAGCTGCCTCCTGCACACCTCCTACTGGGGATGTGCCCACAACCAAGGTACATGCCCCTTGACCGGAATCGAACCTGGGACCTTTCAGTCCACAGGCCGCTGCTCTATCCACTGAGCCAAACCGGTTAGGGCAAGTGTTAGACTTTTTAATGTTGTCCCACATGTCCCCAAGGCTCTACTCATTTCCTCCAATCTTTTTTTCTCTGTATTATTCAGATTGGATAATTCCTATTGATCTAAAAGTTCACTCTCTCTTTCCTCTGGCATCTCCATCCTACACTGAGCCTGTCCAGTTTTTATTTCAGTTACTGTATTTCTCAGTTATAAAATTACTATGTAGTTCTTCTTTGTATTTTCTGTATCCGTACTGACACAATCTATCTTCCATTTCAAGAGTGTTTGCCCTTACTTGTTGGAACATTTTTGTAACAGCTGCTTTACTAGTTAATGCTGACAACTGTGTTATCTTGGCACTGGTGTCTGTTGTCTTTCCCTTGTGAGTTGAGATTTTCTTAGTTTTTCATATGCCAAGTAATTTTTAATTGCATTCTAGATATTTTGAATATTGTCACGAGACTCTGGGTCTTATCAAAACCCCTTGGAGAATGTTGATACTTTTGTTTCAGCAGGCAATTGACCTGGCTGGATCCCAGATCCAAGTTCTAATCAGGCTTCTGTGAGTTGTGGTTCCAAAATCAGTTGAGATTTCAAAGCCTTTGCAGTACTTGGTGAATCTATCCCACGTGCGCCCACCCAGCTGTCTGGGATTTGTGTGGTGGCCTATCCCCACGGTCAGTTCTCGAAGTCTATGTGTGCTATTTGGGTCGGATCCATGTATCCACAACTTGGGAGTAAGCCCTGCTATTCATACAACCTTAAACAGTCACTTTCCTGAGCTCTTCCTCCCGACACGGCCCCCAGTACTTGCTGGTTCCTCAGTCTCCCTTTTTCTGGTTCTCTAGCCACTCTTCCCACAACTATGTCTGTCTTGGGGCCAAATGGTGGGAAGAGAGAATACAGCATCAGGCGTTTGTCCCACCTTGGGAACGAAGCTCCTGTAATCAGTTTTAGGCTCCTGCCAGCCCTTGCTCTGCTGCCAAGAGACTGCTTGGGGGCTGGGTGTGCGAGAACAGAGAAAAGGCAACAATCAAATGTGGGGCCTCTGCATTCTCTCTGAGTGCTAGGAGACCCCTTTCTCACCCAGAACCAGAGAGTGTCTCCAAGCACTGTCTGTCCATGTTAACACCCCCCATGGGTTGGGGCTACCTTGAATTCTGGCTGTGAAATACCAGAGGGGGGAAATGGTAAACTCAGTCAATTCAGTGGTACTTCAAGTTCTGGTTTTCCTCCCCGACTGTTACTTTTCCGGACCCCTAACCCTATGCCATGCGCGATGTGCAAGTTGTACAGCTGCATCCACTGGGAGAGATGGAGCCGAGTGTACTTGCCCAGAATGGGGCTGCTCTTCTTGTGAACTGGTTAAACCCATTCTCCAAGGATACACGGGATGATGGCAATGAAGGAAGTTTTCTGTTTTAGAATCTACCCGCAGGCCCACCCCCGTTACCTGCACTGACCACAGGGCTTATCCCTCCCGCAATATGTGATGATGGATGGTTTTCTAAGCACCCAGACTTCTCAGAACCCAGAGGTGAGAAGAATGACTGTTACTCTGAGAGGTCCTGGTTTTGCCCTCTTCGGGATTCTCTCTTTAACATCTCACCGCTGACTTGAGATTCCAGAAGGTCGTCCAAGACATTCCAGGTTATAAAAAGCCAAACACCGGCGCTCACCTTTGCTCGCTGGCAGCGTTTTTCCTAGGACACTGCCCTCCACAAGCCTGTCCTTTCCTGCCGCTCTGCTGGCCACCCTCAGCCGCTGCCTCAGAGCCCACCCAGGACCCAAACTATCTGCTGAACCTCGTTTCCTGACAATAGTGCCAATTCCTCAAGTCTGTGTACACCATGTTATGTTTAAAAGACTCACAAACTCTGTCCTTGCCCCAGCTGGTGTAGCAAGGTGGTTAGAACATTGGCCTGAGCACCAAAGGGTCAAGGGTTAGATTCCCAGTCAAGGGCACAGGTTCGATCCCCAGCCCGGGTTGGGGCACGTGCTGGAGGCAACCAATCAATGTCTGTCTGTCTGTCTGTCTGTCTGTCTCTCCCTCCCTCCCTCCCTCCCTTCTACTCTCTCTAAAAATCAATGGAAAAAATATCCTCGGGTGAGGATTAACAAAAAAAAAAAACATAAACCAACACCAACAAAAAACCTCTGTCCTAAATGTTTGCAGCCATGTGCCTTTCTGATATCCACCTTTAGTGGTCTTTTCTTTTAAAAAAATTAAAAGAACATGCATGGAAAAATTACTGAAAGGAAAAGTACCAAAATGCAAACAGTAGTTATTTGGGGTAGCAAGACTCCAAATTTCTTAATTTGCTAGCATCTTATACATCTTCTACAAGTTAATATAATGAGGAAGTATGTATTGCTAATTTATCTTTAAAAAATCCACTCCCCATATCCCAAAACTTGAGCAATTGGGGGACCATTAAGCCGTGGCCATCTCATGCCAGGCTACAGCAGGACTCGATAACATGGCTTCACCTACACAACTTCACTGGAACATCCAATTTCCCAGCCACTGCTTCTCAAACAAGACTGCACATCGGATTCACCTGCAGAGCTTAAGTATAAACAAAACACCTGTTCAGCTGGAAGGGCATGTGAGAAGAGAAGAACAATTCTAAAGTTTTAGACCTCAAAGCTTGGCACAGAGTGCGGAATCTCGGAAGGAAGGTGGGGGAGGGTGGGTGGGAGGTAATCAACCAAAGACCTTGTATGCATATATGCATGACCCATGGACACAGACAGTGGGGTGGTGAGGGCCTGGGGTGGGGCTGGAGGGGGTCGATGGGGGAAAAGAGAGGACATATGTAATACTTTCACAATAAAGATTTTAAAAATAAAACAAAATGATGCATACTGAACTAAATACGAAAATACAATAAAAATATTTTTTTAAAAAAGTATTTCAATTCGCCGAACCGGTTTGGCTCAGTGGATAGAGCGTCGGCCTGCGGACTCAAGGGTCCCGGGTTCGATTCCGGTCAAGGGCATGTACCTTGGTTGCAGGCGCATCCCCACTGGGGGGCATGCAGGAGGCAGCTGATCGATGTTTCTCTCTCATCGATGTTTCTAGCTCTCTATCCCTCTCCCTTCTTCTCTGTAAAAAATCAATAAAATATATTTAAAAAAAAAGTATTTCAATTCAATACATGTTTTAGACCTGAATAAAAGGGTCAAGTCTGTCATTTACCAAAATGAGGAAAGATGCAAGGGAACAGGTTCAAAAGGGTGGAAAGAAAGTAAATAAAGTTTAGGCCTCTACTTGTTAAACAGGAAATGCCTATACACGTCCACGTGAAGCTGTACAGTAGGCAGCTGCAGGCCCACATTGGATCAGAGATGCAGTCCCGGCTGGAGACATACGTGGGGGCTGTCAGCGGAGGGGGACATGCGAAGCCTCGAGTCCAGCTGAGAGCTCCCAGAGGGTGACCACAGACAGAGAAGCGCTCAGAGCCAGCCCGGCCTGGCCCCAGCACGGCAGTATGTGTTGAAGCAAATGAAGGGAGAGGCAGGGCCAGGTTCATTCTCACATGCAGTTTCACTTCCTGTTGTCCAGGGCAGACTTGTCACAGGACAGAAACCAGAACAGCAAACACCCCCAGCACTAGAGACATTCAGCGCTGCTCGGAGCACATGGTGAATATTCACTCTCTTAACCCGCACCTCAGAGGCAGGGACTCCTGTTCTCCAAGTTCCAGAGAGGAGGAAGATGGGGTGCAACAAGGTGAAGTAACGTGCCCAAAGCCACGCAGCCAGGCTGTGGCAAGGCTGGGACACAGCGCTGGTGCCTGGCCCCCACCCGCATTAAGTCACCATGTGATGCTCTAAGTACTACAAGCTGCGAAAGAAGGGAAAGGAGTTCGTCTCCCCAACACCTGCCGGGCTTTAGCTCTGATGGAGCATCATCACCGCCCGGGACCACAGTCTAGCACGCAGGCCCAGCACGGGGCTCTCTGAGTGTGTGAATTGACGTCTGCGACAACAGCCAGCGAGAGCCAGGTGCCCAGGAGCCTCCCCACGGGGGCAGGTCCCTGGCTCTGGATCCCTCTCAGGCAGTGCAGCTTGGGGGTGGGGTGGGGGTGAGAGTGGGGACGGGAGGGATGAGAGATGAGAGGGCGAGAGACACAAAGCACCAGCAAACAACACGGCAGGACTGCAT